CCGCCCGGGCCCAGGACAGCCCGGCGCCCGGCAGCCGCTTCGTGTGCACGGCGCTGCCCCCGGAGGCGGTGCGTGCCGGTTGCCCGCTGCCCGCGATGCCCATGCAGGGCGGCGCGCTGAGCCCCGAGGAGGAGCTGCGGGCCGCGGTGCTGCAGCTGCGCGAGACCGTCGTGCAGCAGAAGGAGACGCTGGGCGCCCAGCGCGAGGCCATCCTTGAGCTCACCGGCAAGCTGGCGCGCTGCGAGGGGCTGGCGGGCGGCAAGGCACGAGGCGCGACGGCCACGGGCAAGGACACTATGGGCGACTTGCCGCGGGACCCCGGCCACGTCGTGGAGCAGCTCAGCCGCTCGCTGCAGGCCCTCAAGGACCGCCTGGAGAGCCTCGAGGTAGCGGCGCGCGAGGAACGCGGGGGACCCGGAGTGGGGGAAGCGCTCCCGGCTCGTGGGGGGCAGAAGACGCGGGGTAGGGGATGGGGGCGCCTGGTCCTGGCCGGCGGGCTCGTCCTCGGGGTGAGCTGGGTGTGCGGGTAAGGGAAGAGGGGTCTCCATCCTGCTCGGGAACTTCCTTGCATCGCGCCCCTCTCCCCCTGCTGGAAGGGAAGGTTTAGAATCCCACGCGCGCCCGGTCTGCCCACTAGACACGCGGTGCACTTCCCAAAGCGCCGGGCAGCCTCGTTCCTCTTCTTGCAAGTCTCCAAATCTCCGGAGCCTGGACGCGCTTCCGCAGGCGGTGGGGGGTTCTGCCGCGGGAGGTCAGCTGCCCTGGGCATCTGGTGTTTCCTTTTATAAGTCGGGTCGGGCGGGACCGGAGGGGGCGCGAGCCTGCGGGGGCGGGGCCCGGCGGGAGGCGAGAGCAGGGGAGTGGCACTGGCGACCCTGGAGCGAGCGTTAGAGGAAACCTCTCTGTTCACTTCAAAGGCGCTTCTGTGGGTGAGTCGGGCCGTTTCAAGGTGCTCTCCCAGACTGCTTTGGGGAAGGCGGCCTTATTCTGTCCTCTCTCTCGGAAGATGTGAGCAGTTTCTGGAAGTTGAGACAGAAATCTTCAATTAAGTTTCATCTTTACAAGTCACCCTTTTTTAAAAGTGTGGGCATTTCTGTTAATAGCGCTTGTGAAGCTAATTAGCCAAAGTAGTTTTACATTCCGGGTATGATTGTAACATGATTTGAGGGTTTCTTTAGGTGTGACGGTTAAATACTGTATCTCCAGTATCTATTTCTTGATTTGTTATGATAACCAACAGCTAACATTTCTTGAGTACTAAATATGAGTCAGGCATGTTATTTAATGTTTTAAACCTTGGAACAATGAATGACACGAGGCAAGTGCCATTATCTGCATTTTAAATCTGGAACACTTTGTAGAGAAGGGTAAATAGCTTGCTGAGGACTCAGGGCTAGGGAGTGGTAGGCTGTCCCCTGAGCCCTATGATGGCAGAGGAGGAAAAGAAATAGAGAGTGAGGGTTCAGAAACAACATTTTAAAAGAGGTTCTGGAATTCAGAATAGTAGTGTTTTATATCTGTCATTTTCCAGTAACATCTCTGCAGTCAGTTATTTACTTTTGTGCCATACCAGAACTTGGGGGCTGTCTTCATTTCTAGATGAAAGCTTATCAGCTTGCATACTATTGATGAACTATTTTTTTTTAATCCTAGCTGTGTTTTGGTCTTTACCAGACATAGAACTGTAGGTGTTGGTTAAAATTTTGACTTTTTAGTAAGAGGAGAAAAAAAAAAACCCAGCTTTTTAAGAAGGGAAAATGAGATTCACAAGTTTCAAATATTGCAGCAATATAATTCTTGTCTGACTTTAAAATCCTTTCCATACAAAAAAAGCATCAGTGAAACGCTTCCTTCGTGCCATTGGCACGACTCAATGCTTGCATTTTGGAAGCTTCTCCATGTGTGGTCGGACCATCAGAGCCACATTTCACAATTTCTTTTCACCTCCCTCTGTGTTCCACCTCCCTCTGTGTTCCTCCTCCCCAATGGAAAGCACCAGCTCCGAGGGAACGTGTCGAACGCAGGGCTGCCCGGTGACTTCCGCGAGGTGCTCCAACGGCGGCTCGGGGAGCTGGAAAGGCAGCTGCTACGCAAGGTGGCAGAGCTGGAGGACGAGAAGTCCCTGCTCCACAACGAGACCTCCGCTCACCGGCAGAAGACGGAGAGTACCCTGAACGCCCTGCTGCAGAGGGTCACTGAGCTGGAGCGAGGTGCGTGCTTTGTTTGTTTCTCTGTCTGGGAGTGGCCTGATTGGCACCACTTGTGGTCAGACCCAGGGTTCCAGTTTTTGGACAGCAGTGATTTGGGCACCACACGGGGATGGTTCAAGGATGTTTGAACAAGTAATAAAGGTACCTGACCCTCGTCATCTCAGGAATCAGTCTGCAGCCCCCAGGGCCACTGGCATTCTCCATGGACAAGCAAATGAACTCAGGACCAGCTTGGATAAACAACCTCCTATCATACAGGCATTTCAGCCCCTTCTTCACTAGTTCTTGCAACAGATTCTGTAGCTCTTTCTCTTCTCTGCTCACACTGTGGTGAGTAAGTTTCTCCCACATGAGACAGGAAGGGAAGAATCAAGGGCCGAGATCATGCGAATCGCATTACCAACCCCCACACAGCTGGGTGGCCTGGGTGTGAAGTAGGTTTGCTGGGAGTGGGTATAGGGTTTTAATCTTCTCAGATGCACTAGCCTGACAAAGGCAGTTTCTAATGACTCACTCTCGTGAATAGATAGGAGAAGGTCCAATAACAGAACATCCAATGACTCTCTTAGTGGTCTTGGCAGAGGAGGACCAGATGGAGAAGGGGATGGTGTTACTGTTCCATTTTAGAGCCGAAGTCCACAAACTGTAGGTCCCCGTCATCCCTTTCCTAGCCTCTACCTCCAGAAAAAATCTATCCTTTTCTCCCTGCCTTTCTCAGAAAAGTGTGTGGCTTACCTGTTAGACTTGGATTCCTGAGCTTCTAAAAAATTTCCTCTCTGTCTCACCTCTGCTGCTGGGTGTCCTCGAGAGACTACCTTGAAGGTAAAGCAGCCACAGCTGTGGCCTCTCTCACATGACAGGAGGAGGGGGAGGCAGCATGCAGCCATAGATGAGTGGCTCCCTTGACCCAGCCTCAGCCACAGTGGATCTTTAGGTCATCCAGGGCTGGAGAGTGGGCACATCAAGGATAGTTAGCATCTCAGAAGGGGTGGCTGTGGAATGAGAGACCTTTGTGTATACCTCACTTGGTGCAATGGCCAACTTGCTGCAAGGAGGCAGGTTAATAGACTGTTATGTGTTAGAGCATTGAGTTGTGCCAGGCAGAGTGCTGGTTGCTCCACCCCCGGGAGGTGAAGTTCAGACTTCTCTTATACCCATTGCACAGATGAGAAAAATGCTCAGTTCTCACCCAGACAAGTGTCATTTGGGGAGAGGGACCAAAGTAGTCATTAGGGGGTAAGCAGCAGTAGTCACATAAACCTACACCTTCCCATTTTTGTTCTCTGACTCAAGGCTGGTGTTGCTTCACTTGGCTTACTCCAAGGTAAGCAGTCATCTTGGCCCCCTGGGAACTGCCACTTTGTGACTTTCCCTTCCATCCCCATCCTGTCTGCTCACAGCCAGAAAGAAATAGTCAGGACTTGGACCCAGCCAACCTGGTCCTGCACCTACCCCTGACCCTTAGGTTTCATGGAAAGCCCTTGGGGCTCATCTGGTACAGAGGGGAAGCTCTTTTCTATGAGGGCAAAGGTCCTGGCTGGCCCTTCCTGCAGAATCCCCAGCACTGCCACAGAGGAACCGCTCAGCTTCCGCTTCTCTTATCTGCTATCCTTTGACCCCTCCATGGGAGCTCTACAGCTCAGGTGCTCCACCAACTCATCTCTGGGATGAGTATTAAGGAAAGTGCTCATTTGCTGACCAGTTTGTCTTCTGGGCATTTCTGACTTTATATCTGTCCTGTTTGTGACAATTGTAAAGAGACATGTACACACCCACCTCGGCTTCCAAATATACATGATTGGAAAGCATACCATGCTCCTTAGACTCATCCAGCTGAGCCCAGAGGAGACGGATCTAACCACATGGCAGAAGGGGGCTTTGGGAGACCCTGGCCTTTTGTCCATCATCCTCCACCTGTCATGGACCAGAGGCTCAGCTGTGAATTCCACACTCCGTATGTTCCATAAGCTCCGCCATGACCCTGTGAGTAGGTATTAGTTCAGAGGAGGGACTGAAGTCAGAGCTCAGTGATGCCTTCATTCGTGTGGCCAGCAGATCACAGAGCTGGGATTGCGGTTGGTGGTGACCCCAGAGAAGTAGTGAACCCTGCAGCCTAGAGCCGTAGGCAGGCTCCAGCCCTGCATAGGGATGCTTGTGTCACCAGAGTTGCAGGGATGCTCATTTTTCTTTGTTGTGAGACATGCTTGTCTGCAAGGGCCTCCAGAGTCTGGGCCAGCTGGCCAGGCACAGCCTGTAGTTGGAACAAATGTTGGTGCTGAGAAAACCTCTGCCTCCTCCCTTCCTGCCCCAGGCTGCCCACCCCCTGCTTAGCCTTGTCTACCACCTGCAGCTTCTGATTTATTGGGCAGGCCTTTTAATTCCATAATTGGTTTTAACTAAGTTTCTTCTGAACCTCCAAGCTGTTTTGTTTACATAAAGGACACCAGCTTTCTGGGTTCAGGCCCCTCCTCTGCCCCTCGGCTCTCCCAGCTTTAATTAAACCTATCCGTTGTCACTGAACTAATGATATTACCAACATGGAGTCAAGAAATTGGCCAGCCTGCCCACCTGCAAAAAGAACAACTATTTCTCTTTGTTAGACAATGATGCCTACATTGGGAACATGGTCATTTGCCACTTGAAGATTAAGTGCTCGTGGCTATATGGAGTAGAAAGAGGGACTTCAGCCCCGGCTCTGTCATTTACTGTGTGACCTTGGATGAGTCATCTCACTTCTCTGAGCCATCTCACTTCTCTGAGCCATCTCACTTCTCTGAGCCATCTCACTTCTCTGAGCCATCTCACTTCTCTGAGCCCCCTTGCCTCAACTCTGCAATCTGCTAAATTGGGGAGTAGGAACTTTCTGGATCTCTCAATTTTGCTTCAGCCTCATAAGCCACCAGTCCCAGTCTTTACTCTGGCCTGCTCCCTTGGCTTCCTGATGTGACCTGGTCTTCCCAGCCCAGTACTCAGCAGCTCTGGAGTGTGTCAAGGGGTGCCACACCTTAGGAGGTCAGGAGGAATCAGATGAGACTGTGCAGTCAGCAGATATGAGTATATACTTCACATGAAGACCAGATTCTAGTATTTGCATACTACCTCTTCCAGAGAGGTTGGAAGGGGGCTTCAGGTCCTGCTTGCTCCTTTGCAGAAGCCCTCCTTAGATAGGTGTGGACTGTGGCACCAAAGAGCTTCTGTAGGTATTATTTACCCTGATGAAAAATGAATTTGGGGGATTTTGGGAGAGAAAGGTTTATCTATTCTGGCTGTGTTTTGCAGAAGGGACTGATTTAATTCCACAGTAACACAGGCAGTTGGGCTCCATCCGTTCTGACTCTGAGAAACTGCCAGTCTCTGATGGCCTTGGAAACTGTCTTACCCCTTGTGGGTGCTTAGTCAGTACTTGTTGAGTCAGTGAAGGGCATTTAGGCCCCTTCATCAGCAGGGTCTGGTCCACAAAGAAGAGGAATGCTTTTGCCATAACAGCTCACAGAGTCAAGTGGTAACCTGCCAACTTTGGAATCTGTGACACCTGGACAGAGACTGTTGGTGTAAAATTCATTTTGAGCTTAAACCAAGACCGCATTGAAATTACTTAAACCCATTTAAGAGTTCATTTTCAAGGGTTTTGGAAGTACCAGTAACATAGGGGTGGTAAGGGGGATTCTTACCAGTCCCAAGAAGATCTGGAAGGGCCAAGACTCTGGCTAGTTATATTAACCTAAGTGGAGAGGGACGCCTCTGCATTTATCTGCCTCCCAATGGTCCCAAACTACAGGGAATGGTCAATAAACCCAATCTTCTCTTGAGGAAAGGGAAAATCAGGAGGAAAGCAGTTCACATCAGAGAGTTAGACCACAGAGCCACTTTTGGGTTATGTTGTAGTGTCAAGCCACAGGAGCCTGATTCCTTCACTTTGGCGGTGGTAATTCTTTAGCTTGACAAGTGACATGGACTCACTTGCCTGACAAGTGTTTATCGAGTGCCCAGATCTCTGTAAGACTTTCCTCCTCTCATCTCAGCCCAAGTCCAGGGATTCCAGATCCCACCCTTGCTAAAGAACCTGAAGCAGCTATGTTTTCGAGGAATTATTTGAGGTAACAAGACTTGGTTGAGGAAGCATTGCCTGGCTTAATGTAACAAGAAAATTAAACCCACCTTGCCTCTGCCCTCTTTCTTAAGCTTTCTGGTCATCAGACATGACTGAAAAGAGAGAGTATTAACCAGCAGGGACCAAGTTTTTTCCTTCTGGATTTCAAGAGGCCTTTTTTCCTGTCCTAAGAGACAGCTAAATTCTCTAATGTGCTCAGTGTACTGCCCACAAAGTATTCCTTTCTATCCTTTCCTGGCCTCTCTGGGTCCTTGGGCTTGCTGTTCCTTCTGCATGGAGTTTTCCATAGATCTTTCTAGGACTTCCCTCCCCTGGCTACTCCCCTTCCTAGCAGGAGTTACTGCTTAGCCTTTTCTTGATTATCTGCTGCTTGTTTCGTGTCCCAAAGGCAGGGACTCTGTCTTGTGTCCTGCTGGATTTTGGCCTTTGACAGTGGCTGAAATGAGAGACACTTAAGGGGACCGCCTTCTCCAGGGGTCCAGGTGAGATGTGGTTCTGAGTTGTGCTGGGGTTGGGAGTGGCCTAATGCACTGACCTCTCTTCTCCCCACTCAGGCAACAGCGCCTTTAAGTCGCCAGATGCCTTCAAAGTGTCTCTTCCCCTCCGCACAAACTACCTGTATGGCAAGATCAAGAAGACGCTGCCTGAGCTGTACGCCTTCACCATCTGTCTGTGGCTGCGGTCCAGCGCCTCACCAGGCATCGGTACCCCATTCTCCTACGCAGTGCCTGGGCAGGCCAATGAGATTGTGCTGATAGAGTGGGGCAACAACCCCATCGAGCTGCTCATCAATGACAAGGTGAGGCCCACCTGTGCATCTAGCATCTCAGCAGACATGAGTAACTGATGGGGGGAGTCAGACAGCTGCATGCAAATCCCAGCTGACCCACGTCCTCCTGGGTCCACACAGCAGGGCCACAAGTGTGCATCTACAAGGCCATCCTCCTTGTCCTGGGGACAGCTTGTTATGGAGTCACTGCCCCTCTGGGTGGCTGGCAGGGTAGGGGGTGAGGCGGGGCAGCTGCAGCTGGTGAGCCGAGCTGAGTCTAGCCAGGAAGCAGCAGAGGGTGCAGGTGCAGAGGTCTCATAAACAGAGTGGGCGGGTCTTGGAGTGCAGCCTGGACTCAGAGGCCCTCAGGCTGGTCAGGGCAGGCTGTCCGCAGGGCTGTACCAGTGAGGGATGTATGTCTGAATGTAAGAGATTCCTCATGAGCATATCTTTGTTTAGGGGGTCAGGTTTCTAGAAATACAATTTACATACAGTAAAACTTAACCTTTTAAAATTTATAGTTCAGCCAATTTTGACAAATGCATGCAGTTGTGTAATCACCACCACCACAATGAAAATGTAAAACAGTTTAATCACCCCTAAATATCCTCACGCCTCTTTGTAGTCAACTTCTCACCCCAGCCCATGGCCGGGTGAGAACCACTTCTCTGTTCTCTATACCCTTAGTCTTGCCTTTTCCAGAGTGAATGTCCCCCCTTTTTTATTGCAACAGCTTTAGGGGTTGCAAATAGTTTTTGGTCTGGGCTTTAAGTGTACCCACCACCCCACCTGTGCACATTGTACCCTATAGGTGATTTTTGACCCTCCACCTTTCCCCCGCTTCTGAGTCTCCAGTATTCATTATACCATCTCTATGTCTTTACTAATCTGTAATTTAGCTCCCACTTATAAGTGAGAACATGCGGTGTTTGGTTTTCTGTTCCTGAGTTAGTTCACTTAGGATGATGTTTTCCACTTGCATCCAAGTTGCTGCAAAGACATTATTTGATAGCTGAATAGTATACACTGTGAAATGCCCCTACTTAAGAGATGGCTGGTTTTGGCACTCAAGAGTGTGGTTCCTCAAGAGATCGGCTCTGGGCCTTTTGGGGACTGCCCACAACTGGGCTTCCAGACTTCCATTCTAACATCAGACTTGGCATAACAAAAAGAGCATCCTCAGGTCCTCCTAGCTGGTCTGGGAACCGAAGTAGCTGCACCAACTCCCTGGTGCCCAGGCCACCCCGGGTGGGCATGGGGGCCGCCCAATCCTCACTCTGTTTGTCTTCACTGAACTGCCTCTGGTGGAATTTGTTTAAATGGAGCCAGCCTGCTGGACTCCTAGCAGCAACCTTTTGCCTGAGCCAAGTTATTTATTCTAAATAACACTGGACACAGTTGGACTGAGGGCCTCGTTGTCCCCTTGATTTGGACGGCTTGTAAACATTCAATTTCTGGGAGGGAGGCTTCGGGTTGCTAGTGACAATGGGGCGGTCCACAGGGAGCCTGTCTGGAAAGTGCACAGGACTCAGGGGACCCAGCGGGTGGCATTGTTCTGAAGAACCTTGCCATCTGTGTGCCCCACCCCACCCCATGTATGACACACGCATACATGCTTGGAGGCCTCTGAGCCACTACACGGGGAAGCTGGGGCACCCCCCAGCACACCAACAGATCACCAAGTGCCACTATGTAGGTCTGGGACTTTGCCTGAACAGTGAGGATCCCTGGTCTATTTTCCAAGGAAGTTGACCCAGTAGAGCCTTGACTTCCCTCAGGTTCTCCAGCATGGAGAGCTCAGGGCTAACAAGGTGGTGATGGTTGTCTCTCGCATCTGCTTGGTCCTCAGCTGGGGACCAAAGGTGTGCAGTTAATGCCAGGGACACCCTGGGGTAAGGCACTTGTGCTGAGGTTGCCCCCTTCGTGTTAGTCACATAGCCCGGAATGGGAGACCAGGAGGTCCCTCGGGTGACAGTAGGAGCAGTGGCCCAGGGACTTGGGGGTCCTTCCTGCTTCCTGCCCTGGGGGATCCTGTGAGGTCCGGACCTGGCAGACCCTCACCTGCATATTGCTGCCCATAGGTTGCGCAGCTGCCCCTGTTTGTCAGTGACGGCAAGTGGCACCACATCTGTATCACCTGGACGACGCGGGATGGCATGTGGGAAGCTTTCCAGGATGGGGAGAAACTCGGCACTGGGGAGAACCTGGCCCCCTGGCACCCTATCAAGCCAGGGGGCGTGCTGATCCTTGGCCAGGAGCAGGTGAGTATAGGTGGGCGTGCTTTCCCAGGGGTGAGCGAGGAGGGGCTGGCCAAGCAGCACAAAGCCAGGCCTGCAGCTGTCCCCTGCCCCATCCCCGCTGTCGGTCCCCTAGACCTGACCACTGTGGCCCAACAGCCAGCTTCGGGGAGCGAGGTCCCCAGCAGCATGGTCCCTGCTGTCCTGTGGTCTGTGGGGCTAAGGACAGGCATGGGAATGTGACCTGTACTGTCAGGGCCCAGACGAGTTGGTGGTTCAGAGTTTCTAAGATAGTCTGGCACAGAGAGGTGGGCCTGCCCTGTGGTCATCAGGTCACTTTGCGCCTCGGCTCTACCTTCCTTCTGGGGAGCATACTGTGAGAGGGACTCTTGCAGGGGTTCCCGGGAAGCTCTTAGGGTCTGCCTGGTATGGAGCTGTCCCAGGATGCTGGGCTGGTGTCCTCCCAGAGCTACTTGCTCAGGGTCTCAAAACTGATTCCCAGCAAGGACCGCTCAGGTGATCTGTGTGGAGGCTCAGCCCATGGGGGAGACGGGAGGAAAGAGTGAGGCCACAGAGCTGCCCTGATGCAATCTGCCACCTAGGGGAAGGGGCATCCAAGGTGGCCATCTGGTCTTGGGCAGACAAGCATGGAGCTCTCCGTCTGTATCTGGGGCTTGATGTTGGAAATTGAAGTAGTAAACACCAGGCACACTGGGAGCTTTGCGTCTGATAGCTCCTCAGCCCACTCCCCTCCTCAGTTCCTCCATGATGTCTTCCTTGGGAGGGACTGGGAGTCAGGAAGCCCAGCTCCGGCCCTGGCTTTGGGACTTCGGTCAAGCGTCTCTCCCTTCTAACCTCAGTTTCCCTGCATAAAATGGAACGATTTGAATAGCGCCGTCTCCCAGGCCTGACGTGTCCTGGAGCTTCAGAACCCGCAGAGATCTGTGGTCGGGGCTATGGCCAGAGTTGGGGAGCATCGGGGAAATGCTCAAGGCCCCCCTCCCCACCTCCCCCTGCCATGTGCCAGGAGAATTAGCAACGTGTCTGCTTGTGAGCCTGCTCCAATGCAGATCTTTTTCCCGTTTCCCAGGACACTGTGGGGGGCAGGTTCGATGCCACTCAGGCATTTGTCGGGGAGCTCAGCCAGTTCAACATATGGGACCGCGTCCTTCGCGCACAAGAAATCGTCAACATTGCCAACTGCTCCACAAACATGCCAGGCAACATCATCCCGTGGGTAGACAACAACGTCGACGTGTTTGGAGGGGCTTCCAAGTGGCCGGTGGAGACGTGTGAGGAGCGCCTCCTTGACTTGTAGCTACCCTCTCCCCTGTCCGGGAGGCCGGGATTGGCTGTTCCTGTGGAAGTCCAGGGCCACTGACTCCCCCAGTTAAACTGTAAAACCTCTTGCCAGCACGGGCCGGGGCCCCCACAGCCCATCCCCAGGGACTCTCCGAGACTGAGGCTGAGGCAGCGTTCGTCCCCAGCTTATTTGTTCCTTACCAAGATTTGCTGCCGTTTGGGGTAGTGCCAGGATCCCCAGGTGACAACCCCCCAGCCACAAGGCGGGAGGATCTTACTTCCTTCTGCAGGTGGGATGGAAGTCCACCAGCCCTCTTCAGAGCTCCTGTAAATGCTAGCGCAGCCCCAGCCCTGGCGCCCGCTCCGATCCTTGGTGTCCTGTGTGGCTCTTCTGTCTGTCCCCTCTAATGGCTGTGTGGCCATCCCACTGGAATGGCCATGTCCCTTGTGCGTAGAGTGCATCCCTGCTGGTGACTGAGCACGCAGCAAAGCAGCCTCCCCCCTCTCCCCCCGACCCCGCTCTGCAAAAGGGCCTTTCCCTTTGTGTCCCATGCATTGTGAATAGTTCCTCTGAGGATCCCCTGAGCTGGTGGAGGAGCGCCGGCTTCCCAGACAAAGCCCTACCTTCCCCAGAACAGAGGGGTGTCTGCGGCCCCAGAGAGGGGCGTGGAGGGAGCGCAGAATGGAGCAGGGCCGAGACCACTGCTCGCCTCCTATCATCTCTTCCTCAGACCGACGCTCGACTGAATCATCACTAGGCATGGCTTTAAAAAGCCTCTTTTCTCATCTGGTGCCAAGGTTCAGTTGCAGCTTTTACAACCCTCCGGTGTGGTTGGGAGGATTTATTTTTTCCCAACAGAAAAGAGCAGCCATTAGAAGAAAGCGCCCATCTTTTGATGTTTCACCCCACTGTGAGGAGTGTGCTCGTTTTTAATTCATGTTGGTTCCTGTAAGCATCGGACTATCTTCATCAAGTATTTCCCCCAAGAACTTTTTCAGAAAATGGAGGTCATTTGGCTGACACGTGCTTAGTGACTCCAGGCTGCTCAATCTATTGGACAGAGGTAGTGATTTATTTTAAAGACAGTGATGAAGTGGGGAAATTTATAAAGCTAAATATTATATATTTTATTTTTCATACATGTTTGAAGTGCAAATCTGTGGAAATTCCATTTGTAGGACCAAGTTAACATGCCCATCCTGACATTGTATGCTACGAGAACTCTTCTGATGATGGAATTTTGATTAAAGTGCACTGGAAGATGCTTCCGTGTGGCTGTGGCTGAGGGCAGGGAGGGGTGGGGCCTTGCATCTCTGGCAGAAGAAAGGCTGCTCTGGTTTGCCTGGGCCTGGCAGCAGTGGGCACACTCAGGCATGCATCCAGTGGGCTTGGGGGAGCTGAGGATGGTTGGAAGAGGGTGAGGTCCAGGTCCACACCCTTCCTTTCTCAATGCCAGGCTCAGGCTGTAGGTGCCCAGTGGGCTCTGCCAAGGCTCCCTGTCCCCAGCCCGTGCCTGTCTTCTCAACCAGGGGATCCAGCTTAGCTAGAGGATCTTCACCTGCCTTCTAGGTGTGACGTCTGCTCAGCACCTACTCTGTGCAGGTGCTCTCCATACATCATCTCATTCAATTCTCCCAGCTCCTGAAAGAGCTAATCCCAATTAATAGATGAATACATAGAAAAGTTAAAGCTACTTTTGGATCGTAACAGTCAATGAAGGACAGAGCTGGGCTCAGCCAGTCTGTGGCTCCAAGGGCCCTGTCCCTTCCATCCCTTATTCCCACTCACTCTGATTGCCTAGTGCTACTGCTCCTCCCAGAGCCTCCCTGTGTGCCCACCTGGCCCTGGCTGGTATGCTGATGGTCTCTCCCCCTCCACAAAGGTTAGATAACCCCTCCTCTGCCATGACCGCCACTTTCCACTTTTATAGCTTTACTCTGACTTGGAAGTAGCAGAGTATAACTTAATTAGTCCCTCTCCCAAGTAGCAATGTCAATTTCCATTATTATAATAGGGGAACAGAGTTAAGAGGCCAGCTGACACCATATGCCAGATATATGTGATACCGAGGCTGCAATGGAAATTGTAACCTCTAAAACCAAGACCAGCGGGTCACAAATTTTTGCAGTCCATTTTCAGTGTTGTGAATTATAACTTGGCAAGAACTGAATATCATTAGTGTTGGGTAGAACATGAAATTAGGCCAGATATCCTGCTTGGGGACTTTTGGAATTCAAAGTGCAGCGACCAGGTGGAGAGCAGTTTATTTGGAATCTCCTTCATGATGGGAACACCAACTACTCAGATCTCCTGCTGAAAGGTGCTAAGGGGTTTTCTTATTTTGTGTGTGTGCTGGGTGCTGAGCTGACCCTTTTAATTCGCTAGCACTGCCTTCCCAGGAACATCCCTTTGCATCAAGGCTTCAGAACGCCTGCTGAGTCTTCTAACTCCCTCCATGCAATTGAAAGAGCTTTGAGCTCAGAACATGGGATGAAAATGCTCCTTGCTGACCTGACCTGCAGATAAGAGAACCCACCTTTTCTTATTATAGTCATATGCTGGTCCTCCCATTGAAGGTTTGGTCTCCCTGACATAAAAGAATCATTTATAAAATCTAGCAAACTCCTTATCCCTTGAACCTCCCATCTGAAGGAGACCCATGACCCTAGTTTCCCCCAACCAAGCCCTCACACTTGTGGAAGGCTGGAAAACACCTTGATAGTGAACTGGGTTCTCCAAGAAGAGTGGGGTAGAGATTGTCCTGGATGATGGAATATTCCGGCTGGTTAAGGGTTGCCTTAGGGACTAGCAAAATGATCAGTGATTAATGAATTGAAAAGTGATAAAATGCAGCTAAATCAAAGGCAGTCTGGGACCAGGTCTTTCTGATGGGGATGCATACCAGGATCCTTCACAACTCCAAGAAAAGATGACTTCCTGAGGAGCACAGGTATTAACACTGATTCTCTCAATAAGCATTTGAGACACTTACTATAAGTCAGGCACTATTCTAGGCACTAGAGATGCAAGTGTGAGCTAGATACCAACATGTCTCTTTTAAATGGAGATTAATTCCAGTGGGGAGTGTAAATGGAAGACAAATAGATAAATAAGAAAAATCCAACAGGTGTGGGGGCTCACACCTGTAATTCCAGCACTTTGGGAGGTTGAGGCAGGAGGATTGCCTGAAACCAGGAGTTAGAGACCAGTCTGGGCAACAGCGAGACCCTCTCTCTACAAAATATAATTTTTAAAAAAGCAGCCAAGTGTGGTGGCACATGCCTGTAGTTTCAGCTACTTAGCAGGCTGAGGCAGGATTGCTTGAGCCCAGAAATTTGAGACTACAGTGAGCTGTGATCATGCCACTGTATCCCAACCTGAGTGACAGAGCAAGGCACTGTTTCTAAAAAAATAAAAAATAAAAAAAGAGAGAAATGCTGATGATGTGATAGGGAGTAACTGGGGAACTGCTTCTTTGGGTCACATTTAAGCTGTACCCTGGTTGAAGAGAGAGGGCCAATCTTGGGTGGAACCTCCCAGGCAAAGGGAACAACTGGTATGAAGGTCCTAAGGTGTTGCTGAGTGTGAATGTTCAAGAGAAGAAACAGCCAGAGTGACTACATTCTCCGGAGAGGGGAGGAGTGGGAGATGGGACGAAGAAGTAGCAGAGCCAGTTCACAAAGGGCCTGAGTTCAGATCTTACTCAAAGTGAAATGACAAGTCTGGAGATTTGAGCAGGGGAGTGTGGTAATTTTATTACTATTCTAAGGACACTACTCTTCTTGGTAGATGGAGAATAAACCAGAGAGGGTTGCAAATGGAAGCAGGAAGACCAGTGAGGAGGCTGTTGACTAGTCTAGGTGAGAGGCGATGATGTCTTGGAATAGGAAAGTGGTGGAGGAGACAAAAAAAAAAAAAAGGAAAGACGTAGGGTATACTTAGAAGTAGTTGCCAGGACTTGCTGATATTTGGAATTTGGGGGAAAGGAATCAAATACAATTTTTTAAAAACAAACTCCAAGTAGGAGAAATTCAGATTCACACCTAGAAACATCATAATCAAACTGTTGAAAACCAAAGGCAATCTTGAAATTAGCAAGAAGGAAGACTCAGGATGTACAAGGAATCCTCAAAAAGATTTACAGATGAATTCTCATCAGAATCTACGGAGACCAGAAGGCAGAAGGATGACACATTCCAAGTGCTGAAAGAAAAAGACTGTCAACCAAGAATCCTATATCTGGCAAAACTATCCTTTAAAAAAGAAGGCAAAATTAAGATATCCCAAATAAACAAAAACTGACAGAATTCAACACCAGCAGAACTGCCTTACAAAAATATACTAAAGGGAATCCTTCAGGCTAAAATGAAAGTATACTAGACAAATACTCAAATCTACTTGAGGAAATAAAGAGCATTAGTCAAGGTAACTAGGTAATTCTAAAAGACAGTATAAATATAATTCTTTTGTTTGTAGCTCTTTTCTTATCCTATCTGGTTTAAAATACAACTGTCTAGAGCAATAATTAAAAATTTGCATTGATGGGCATAAACGTATAAAGATGCAATTTATATGACAATAACAGAACAAAAGGGTGGAGAGGAGTTCTGTAAAAGTAACATATTTTATACTATTATAAATTAAGTTGGTATTAATCTGAATTAAATAGTTATAAGTTAAGATGTTAATTATAACCCCCAGGCAACCATTAAGAAAAAATAACTCGAAAGGATATATTAAAAGACACAAGGAAATTAAAGTGATAAGCCACAAAATATTCATCTAATACAAAAGAAAGCAGTAATGGTGAAATAAAGGAATGAAAAAACACATTAAGACATACAGAAAACAAGTAGTAAAATGGCTGGCGTAAGCCCTTATCAGTAATAACATTAGATGTAAATGTTTTAAATACTCCAATTAAAAGGCAGAGTTTGGTAGACTAAGTTTTTTAAATGATCCAATTATATAATGCCTACAAGTAACACACTTCAGATTTAAAGACACAAATAGGTTAAAGTTAAAGAAAAAGATGTATCACTCAAATAGCAACCAAAAGAGAACTGGAGTGGCATCTGACAAAACAGACTTTAAGACAAAAATTGTTACTAGAAACAAGATGGACATTTTATAATGATAAACTTCTCTCAAGAAGTTATAATAATTATAAATACATATGCACCTAACCACAGAGCCCAAAATATAGCAAAAGCTGACAAAATTAAAGGAAAATTAGTTCTACAATAATAACTAGAGACTTCAATACCCCATTTTCAATAATGAGAAGAATGTCTAGACAAAGGATCAAGAAGGAAACAGTAGACTTGAACAATACTAAAAACCTTCTAAACCTAATCTCTTATAGGATTTGCTGAGCAACAATAGAATACACGTTCTTCTCAATTACACATGAAATAGTCTCCAGGATAGACCATATGTTAGGCCACAGAACAAGTTTCAATAAATTGTAAAAGATTGTAATCATAAAAATATTTTATGTCACAATGAAATGAAGCTAGAAATCAATAACAGAAGGAAACTGGAAATTCACAAATATATGAACATTAATCAACACATTCTTAAACGAGTGAATCAAAGAAGAAATCACAAGTGAAATCAGAAAGCTTAGAGAGAAATGAAAATGAAAACACAATGTACCTAAATTTATGGAACACAACAAAAGCAGTGCTAAGAGGCAAATTTATAACTCTAAATGCTTACATTAAAAAAGAAAGATCCCAAACCAACAGCCTAACTTAACAAATTAAAAACAAGAAAAAGAAAAATCAAAATCCAATGCTAACAGAAGGAAGGAAATAATAAAGATTAAAGGCAAATAACATAGAGAGTAGAAAAACGACAGACAGGCCAGGCTCGGTGGCTCAGCCTGTAATCCCAGTACTTTGGGAGGCCAAGGCAAGTGGATTTCCTGAGCCCGTGCATTTGAGACCAGCCTGGGCAACTTGGCGAGACCTTGTTTCTACAATAAATCAAAAACATTAGCCGGACGTGGTAGCGTGCACCTATAGTTTCAGATACTTGGAAGACTGAGGTGGGAGGATCACTGGAGCCCAGCAGGTTGAGGCTGCGGTGGCCGGGAGCATGCCACTGCACTCCAGTCTAGGCAACAGATTGAGACTCCAACTCAAAAAAAAAGAAGAAAAAAACAAAAACAACAGGAAAAAAATAGCAAATTCAAGAGTTGGTTCTGTTGAAAGATTAACAAAATTGACAAAACTTTGGCTAGACTGACCAGGAAAAAAA